CCCGGTCCTCCAGGTAAACCGTCACGTCCTTGTTTTCCACGATTTCCAGGAGGCCCTTTTGGACCTGGCTTTCCAGGAGGGCCTGGCAAAGAAGGCTCACAGATGAAGCACCAGTCTATTGATGACGATTTGTGTAGAGCATCGTGTCCGTTGCTACCAGGTGGTCCGTCAACGCCATCTGGGCCATCTTTACCGTCAGGACCAGGCGGGCCCGGCAGACCTGGAGGTCCCCATCCACAACCGCAGCATCCTTGTTCATTTTCAACCTGGCGCTTGGATAGTTTTTTCAAACTATATGAGTAAGCCTGAAATATAAAATTTACAAAGAAAGATAAGTTTGCTGCTATATTTATCAGTTATTGGCCTTCTTTACCAGAATAATGCTTAACTTTAAGGTTTGTAGTTATGTACTAACAAACAGCAATCATAACTACGGAATTTTAAAACTGAAATTGCTCCTCAAAGCTTCATGAATAACAGTAAAGCATTACGATAGTGCCAGTGCTTTAAATTTTTTAAATTCTCAGCAAATCCACTTGTTGTAAAATATCTAAATGGGCAAAAAGAAAATATGATATAACTCTTTCGACTTTCATTATGCAATATCTGAAGTAAATAAGAAGCAGGACAGCCCGCATTTAAGAGTGAACAGCATGTAATTAGAGGTATTCATTGGGCACGTCTAACGTGTTTTTTATACTTTAGAAGGGGGAACTTGCGAAATAAATGCTTACTACCTTTCGCTAAAAGTAATGATATCAAAAACAGACTCTCAAACTTTTTGTCGACATTGACGTTCTTACCTAAACAGGCAAAAAGTACAGTGCATTTGCAAGATTGGTTAGGAAATTCTTCTCTATTTTTATTCTTAAACGTGTAGTTTTATCAGTGATAGAATTGCCCAAATTTAACAATTGGTCTACGTAATTTAGGTATTGATTACTTCAGTTGTTTCAGAAGCCTGTTTTTTGTTATTCCTGATTTTGATTAATAACTACTGTATATTATGATATACCATCTAATTAAGAAAAAGTTTGCACTTTATAAACTCTTTTTTAAAAAAATTTGATCTAATTTAATTAGGATAAAGCATATTTATAAAAGGCAGTAACCAAAAAAAATTTTTTTATTTTTGGATGGCTTCACAGCATTATACAGACTACAAATTTGCGACTATAGAAGATGAATTATATGCTGTATAATTCAAATTTTATTTCACAATTAATTATCAAATCAATTACAAAAATATTTTTTTGTAAAGGAAGAAAACAGAAGGATAAGTGAGTATAAAAGATGCATTGAATCTAATTCGTATCAAGCTATTAAGCCTATTTTTATTCATAAAACAAGATGTAAAAAAAGCCAAATCTTCATGGTTTACTATTAATTTTTTCAGGTTTTTCTGTGAAGGTGTTTTTTCGCAATGTTGTATCATATGATTCATTAAAGTGCAATTTTTCATTTTTGCGAGCCTTAATTGTTTAATATTTACCATCTTAATTTCTCGAGTCTAATTTTCTTTTTTACAGTTTACTCGAGAATTGAAACAACTGTCGATTGTTTAATCAGATGGTGGAGAAATTGTAGAAACAGGATTTCTTGCTGAACATGATAGTGCGCTAGATCAAACCTTTGTTTTTTATTCTGCTAGATAACTTTTCCTTAAACAGTGTTTTGGTTCCATCTATCTATACTTAAATAAAATATAATTTTAGAGACTGCTCGACAGTGAATAACTTCAAACAGAGGTAAAGAACCTTTAACCAATTTTTCTTTATAAAATGCTTCTATTTCTTATGTCCTTACTTTATTCGTTATTGTTTTTCAGACCATAAGAGCCTAATTTTTGCCTTTTTTTGTATAAAAAAGTTTAGAAGCCATTCTAGTCCGCCAAGAAGCTGATCAATTATTTCAGTGACTTCACTTTAACGAACACATTATGTGTGAACTATATCGAGACATCATACCAGTTATAAATCATTCTAAAATCAGATAGTCTCTCAGTAGATCAGACCTATTTGATTACCTGCAAACTAGAGCATCTTTTGAGTAACCTGAAGAGAGCAACGATAATTTTTGGAATTTTTTTTTCGCACGTTCAATTGACAACTACGTGAAACGAAATGACAAAAAAGCTATAGCAAATGAGGGTTTTGTCACCTAAAGTGTTTCATCAAATTACGGACCAGAAATGCTACTGCGTCGACATTTCACGGCGCATTTTCTAGCATTCAGTTACAAGTTAGAAACCGTAATAAAAACTGCCTACCGCATAGTGTTTAAGAATATCGAAAAGGCTAGTGAGTATTGACTACTTATCTAAATATACGGCAAATTCTAATAACTAAGAAGTGTTTATCATTACGAGGAAGAACGATTATTCTGTAATCTAGCTCAGTGCTGCAGAAGAATACTATTTTGAACCAGAAAAGATAAACAGTAAAAATTGTGCTTTATCAAAAACGCTAAACTGTTGTTACTAGACGATATTTTGACTAAAGTAAGTTTGATTTAGCAAAACATTTTGTTTATTACTCTAAAATATTTCTGCAAAATTCTTTTGACACATTAGGTCTGTTTTCAAACAACTATAAACTTTTTTAAAATTTTTATCTGTTTGCTAAAGTAAACAGTTTTGTAAATTGGTTATCTCAGAACCCCCGTTACATCAGTATTCGCTGAAGCCATTTTCGTGGTGTTTTTAGTTTATTGAGAAACCTAAGCATAAACTTTCTTAATTGAAATCTAAATGCATTTTATTGTCAAATGGCGATTAATATACGAACAACGACAAATGACAATAAAAAAAAGTATTGGATAAAAAGGTTTACACTTGTCAACACTTAACTGTTTAGACAGGTGAGGAAAATAGTAGCAGCTTACAGATCAATTCAGATATAGCACTAATTAAGCGGTATCAAATGAGTTAGGTAATTTAACTTTTAATTTTTTAATGACTGAATAAAAGAAAATTACTGTTATGACTTTTTTTTTTTTTTTTTT